TCTGTCATTTCACAAGTTACTGGAAGATAGAGGAAGCCTTCTGGTTATATCATATACATACACGTACGTGTGTGTGTGTGTGTGTGTGTGTGTGTGTGTGTGTGTGTGTGTGCCTGCCCCTTGTTGCTAAGACACAGTTTGGGACACAAAAATTTTCCACTATTTTACAAGTTACTGGAAGGTAGGGGCAGCCTCCTGGTTATCATATACATACACGTGTGTGTGTGTGTGTGTGTGTGTGTGTGTGTGTGTGTGTTATAAGGTACTAAGTGCTCATGGATTTATGGAAGCTGACAATTCCCATAGTCTCCCTCTGTAAGCTGGTGATGTAAAATAATAGTGGTATAAGAGCTAATGGTACAGGGTCCAGTTGTGGGATGGTCTGAGGCCTGGGAGGCAGGAAGAACTCAGTTGTCTAGTTTGAGTAATCAGGCCGGTAAATTCTACTTTTCCTTCTGCTCTGTTTGTACCTTCAAAGGATTTGATGATTCCCCTCAACGCAGGGAAGAAAATCTGTTTTCCTCAGGCTACAAGATTCAAATGCAAATCCCTCTCAGAGACACCCTTACAGATGAACCCAAAATACTGCTTTACTAGAAAATGGGGCATCCCTTAATCTAGTTAAGATGATATACAAAAAAATCAACTAATAAAAGTGAGGAACTTCTTCAGATATCCACCCACCACTGTGAAAAGGACTCTGTCAAAGAGCAGATCCAGTCACACTGGAATCAGGATTCAATGTGGCAGAATTTGGATCTGCGAAGGTTTTAATTTCATAGCTTTGAATTTAATCTAAACAGACGATCTACTTCCGTTTTCAGTGATTCTTTCCCTGAGGCTTCTCTGTGGATTTTTTTTCCATCACAGTTTAATGAATTTTATATTGCTTTAAAGAAAATCCTTTATATCTTTCTTGCTCTAAACTTGTGAAAAATCATTAAAGCTGAAAGACTTCTCTACAGTTTTCAAAGTTTTCCAAACTCCACCTACATTCTCCATGGTTATTGCTACACCACTAAACTTCAAGGTCACCCTTTATTACAGCTATCAGAAAATGGTTTGAGTCGAGGTTTTTTTCTGATAAGTTTCTGTGTCATCTGATCTCTCTCTCTCTCTCACTCTGTCTCTCTCACTCTGTCTCTCTCTCTCTCTCACACACACATATACATACATCTTCTCAGCAACTCACTACAATTACACATTCAGACATTCTGATTTTTAAATTTTAAATGGAAAATTGTTCCACATATATAAATTATGTAATATATATGTGTGTGTACTTTTCATAAAGTAATTGTAATTATAAATTATACATATTTATGTTTCATATATATGTATCTTTCATGTGGAATACCATCATTTATAAAATTTTAATAGTCTTAGGAGTGAGCCTTCACTGCATGCATGACTCATGATTGGCATTTATACGGCTTTAGCTCGAGTCAATATAGTTTAGATAGAGCTCAGGCTTTGGGTCCAAATTTCCTGGGCTCCAATCCTAGCTTTATCATTTATTGACTGTGTAACCATTGGTGAGTTTCTTCATTCCCTGTGTTCCATTCACTCATCTGTAAGATGGATATAATAATGCCTGAATTGATGACTGTTTTGTACAATGAACAGAAATACAGAGGTCTTGGCAGAGTTAGATATTCAACTAATATTGCCATATTTTACAAGAACCATCCAAACTGATTGATTAAAAATAGTAAACAATTAAAACAAAGTTTGAGCTGAACAAAGACAGAATTTGGAATATGTAATGCTTTCTGTAACTTGAAACATTAAGTAATTTTCAAAAATTTTCCTCTATTCTGTTTTCTATCTGGATATAGCAGTAGAAAGAGACTACACGGAAAATGCTAGATCTCTGTATCTGGAAATCTAATAAATAAATACTCTATGTGACATTTATACTGGCAATTCCAAGGAAGCAGTCAAAGACTACAGATTATCAGGTATCAACATGATTTTAAGTACACATGTTTGAAAGTGCAGGGACACACGCGTTTGTGTATATACATAATACTTCCTTGAAGTGATGTGACTCAAAGCCTATCATAAGTGGAAATATGGAAATAAAAGGTTTATTTATTATTTTATGTGTATTTCTGTGTGCCTATATGAATTTATGTGCATCATGTGCTTGCAGAGGCAAGAAGTTGTCTGATCTTCTGAAACTAGATTTACAGGTGATTGTGAGCCTCTCTTTGGGTTCTGGGAACTAAACCTAGGCCCTCTGCAAGAGCAATAAGTGCTCTTAACTGCTGAGCCATCTTTCCAGCCCTCCAAAATGATAAAAGTTTTTAAGACTAATGAAAACAAAAAATGCTTTTATGTAAACATGGAGGAAAGTGAGGCAGAAACATTTTAACCTAGAATAATAGTGCCTGCTCCAATGGATTTCAAATATGAAACTAAAGGAGTTTCAGGTATGAAATTAAATGGTGAATTAACTAATTATGTACTTTCAATCCAGTCATGATCAAAGAACAATGTGAAAAACACTAATGAAAATGTACTTGCTAATTTATTTTCTTTGGAGTTTCCAGTGTTCAAATGTTTTTAAATATGCAAAGAAAATGTTCATTATAGGTAATTATAGGTAAACACAATTAAATAATCAATTCTGACATACAGAATTCCCAGAGGCATAAACTTCACTAATGCCTAGTAAATGATAAAATAAAAACTATGCTATTAATTTTTTTACTTACTTATTATAAAACAGGGTTTCTTATAGCATAAAATAGCCTCAAACTCTCTGTGTAGCTGATACTGGCCTTGAACTCCTGATCCTCCTGCTCCACCTCCATTGGAATTACAGGCCTACATCACCACACCTTTATTAACAGCCATTTTATAATGAACTATATATACAAAAGTGAAGAGCCTTATGTTACTAAAATTTAATAGTTTAGGAAGAAAGTCAGATGCCAGTTAAGGTCCTGATATGTGTGTGCGTGCGTGCGTGCGTGCGTGTGTGTGTGTGTGTGTGTACATGTGTGTTGAATGTATGTGCACATATGGGCGCATTCATATGGAGGTCAGAAGTCAATGCCAGGTTATTGAGACAAAGTCTGTAACTAAACATGTAGCTCACCAATGGCTGAACTGGCTGGCAGGCAAGGATGCCCATCTTTACCCTGTCAGCACTGAAATGCACCTGAGTGCTTAGGATGTGAATTCAGGTGCTCATGCCTGCATGGCAAGCAGTTTACAAACTGAGCCATCTCCCCAGTACCCTGATTTTTTTTTAATCTGTTGGTTTTTCACTTGGGGTCAGATAAAAAGATTAAATGCCTAAAGTGATGGCCTATTGGATATATAACTATAAAAAAGTTTATACTTATGTGTATATATAAATAAATTAAAACATTGAAAATATCAAGACTACAAAATATATTTAGGTTTGGATTCATAGCTCTCTTAAATTTGCTGCATATAAATTTATTTTACTGTTTTCTATCAGAAAATGTATTTTATGCATGTGGGCTGGAATTACATGGTATTTTACTTAACCAATGGCTATTTAATCTCATACTGAACCTTACAGTAGGACCAGTTAGAAAAAATAGAATGCTTTTAATTTTATGCATATACTTTTGATATATCAAAGTATTCAAAATATATGCATAATAAATGTAACATACAGGCAAATCCACATACAAATGTTAGATATGAAGAGCACCAGATTTGTATTGGTCATGTCAGATTATGGGGCTGATCAGTTTCGGTTTTGAAATCACATATAACATTTTTTTACGAGTAGTAGCTACAAAAACTTTTTTGCTTCAGTGGCAAAACATTCAAACTCTCACTTGAAGAATCTTTTCCCGAGGCCACAACCTAGAAAGATCAGGAAGGAACAATCTGTTCCACAGTAGAGAGCTAAAAATCCAGGTATGGTCAGAGTACAGACCTTTATGTTACACATGTTTTGTTTTTCTTATTAATACACTTGGTTGAAAAGCAATGGTTTTGGGAATGAGAGTAATAAAGGGTAAAATCTAAGTACGGTCAGAGTACAGATCTTCTTGTTACACTTATTTTCTTTTTCTTATTAATACCCATTGGTTAAAAAGCAATGGCTTTGGGAATGAGAGTAATTAAATGTAAAATCTAAAAGGATCTTTAGAAGAACTATTTTTTAGCTAAAATTTTAATAGTTTATGATTTTATCTTTTACAAAATAGGCTACTTCGGAATATTCTGAGTGTATAAGAGCCTTCACACAATTCCAAAAGACTTGCTTCAGAGCCTTGTATCTGTTTAACATGTCAATTAGTCTTGCAGTGTTGTGAATGTATCCATGAAAATCTTATCCAAATGTCCCCCTCTTTAACCAGCTCTACTTCTCAAGAGAGCCAAATATTTCAGCCAAGTATTCTCCCTGCAGCAGAAGCTATAGCTAGTTAGATGATTCCACTTGCCATCTGTCTGCCATGGATAACATAACTTGTATAAGTTTCTATTTCGATTTGGGGGTACCGTTCCCACTGCCCTGATACACTCTGTTTTCATATAGAACCAGGCACAAGTTTGATCATTTATTCTATTTAGTTTTTTGTAATCACTTGGGGCACCTAGACTAAATTCTCCTTTAATATATAGAAGTCAGACAAGTTGCTGTATAATATTTTTATGATGATGACCAACAGCATTACATACAACTATGCAAAATGGCAATCTAGCCTGAGCCATTTGGTTTCTAAACAGCCTTCATTTTAATGGATGAAGAATGATCTCCAAATCCAATCCATTAAGCTATGCCCCTCTTTTAGTCACAAAAATAGGAAACTATTCCAGGGTATTTGAAGGGTAATAGGAAAATCTTCCTTGATACTAGATAAAAGGTAAATTATATTATTTAACTCAGACTGCCTCAACTTACTCAATTACTTTTGTTTGAAATTCAAAGTTTTTATATTACTGTAATCATAGGTTTTGTGCTTATTTTTTAAATGCAGCTTTTCAAAATCTCCCATATTACTTACTTGTTTAAGCTTCTTTAGATCTTCATCGAGTTCTAAGTTGTCCAAAATAACAGCAACAAACAAACTCAGGAGGATCTATAAAATGGTTAAATAACAATGAAAACACCCACATGCCATAGGTATGAAAATATTTTGTATAATATAATATAGAACATCTACATAAAAGATATTGGATATAGAATTCTTTAAGTGAAAAAATAAACATGCACTGTGAGTCATTGCATAGGCATAAGGTATTTGCCACAAACACATGACAGGAAATACATGTCAAATAAATAATAAAAATAGTAATTTACTTTAGGAAGGTAATTTAACCAGGAAGTGAGGATTTGTTTTTCTAATTCAGCAATCCCATATCTGAAACTAACCTGAGATATAAATCTAAAATACTGATGAAGAGCTAATATACAAAGGTACCGATTAGAGGGCTATTTGTAATGATGAAATACTGGAAATAATGTCAAGTATAAATAGCTATAAGTAGCTAACATATAGAAACCTAGATGACAAAATTCATGTTGCTGTTAAAGATTTCCATCGTGGCAGCTAGTCTCCAAGATGTCCTCCAGTGTTGCTCATAGCTGCTGAGGTTACACAGAGCCTCTTGTCCTATAGCTTCCCACATTGAATGAAGCTAGACTATATAACCAGGAGGCTATAGAACAGATAGTGTAACTTCTGAGAGGAGACAGTAAAAGACATCATCACTTTTACCCTGCTCTTTTGGCTCACTGGCTCAGGTGGAGTCCTGGGCCAAGTGTGAGGGCAGCACCTTGAAAAGACCCATCTGGTGATAAGTATAAACAGAGGCTTCTCGCCAACAGCCAGCAAGGAACTGAGATTCCCCTTCCAGCATGCATGTGAATGCCTGTCTTGCAGGCAGATATGCCAGTCTCAATAAAGCCTTCCAGGTCATTGCAGCCCCCAGACAGCATCTTAGCTATAACCCAATGAGACAGTGAAATAGACCCAAGAAAACCTGTTACAGTTCCTGAGAGACAGGAACTATGTGAGATAATAAAGACCTCTTTGCTAGCAACCCCTCCAACTATGAACAATGTGCTATACAGCATTAAGTAACTAATACAACTCACGAATTTTTAAAATTTTTAATAACTACATGATCAGAAGAAGCATTTTACTACAGCTTTAACATATTCAGTGACATACTCCAGAGCAAGAGTACATCTCTTTCACAAGTGGGTGCAAGTTTCTAGGTTCACAGTTGAATTAATACAGTTATACAATACTGAACTCAGTATAAGCCCTGTAAGACATATACTTGAATGAGTTTTTAAAAGATCTCCACTTCATTTTAGAATATATTATTCCTTGCAGAAAGAGTCACAGTTTTTGCTACTAACACTGAGATGTTGGTGCATGCATCTCTAATCTGTATGTATCTGATTATTACTAGTCATAATCAGTTGCACTTGGATCCTTGGTGCCTGTGTATGTCTATAAAGTCATTAGGTAGATTTCAAAGGTAATGTTTATCATCTTTACTAATTAGCATGACATAAATTTCTATGCTTCCTCCTCAAATATAGTACATTTAAAAAAAAATTTGGTGATTTTTTTTTTGTGTGTGTATATCACACAGAACATCCCAAACCATCTTGTTCAAATATACATCCACTTTCCAGATGGCACCCTCCCATAATCTCTTTCCCCCCACTAGAGCCCTTATACTCTGATATCTCTGCTACGGTCTGCTGTGTTGTCAGCACCCCCAGCCATTCCCCACTACTTGCCCTTCTGGTGAATCTGGTCAGCCTACCTAGAGGTCTTTGTTTTAGGAGGGTCAGCTATTCCTCTTCTAGAAGCAATCAGTTGTCAATACTCCTTAGGATAAGATTAGGTCTGCTGTTCATTTGGGTTACTATTTGGGAGTCCCTTTGGTCACCCTAGCAGCAATCAGTTCTCAATATTCTTTTAGATAAGACAAGGTATGCTGGCAAAACTGGATTTCCACCTGTAGAAGAATGAAACTAAGCCCCTATCTTTTACCCTGTACAAAAGTCAATTCCAAATGGATCAAAGACCTCAATGTAAAGCCTGAAACTATGAAACTGTTAGAAGAAACCATTGGGAAAAACCTAGAAGATATAGATGTAGGAAATGATTTTCTAAACCGGACATCAATTGCTCAGGAAACAAGGGCAAGAATTAACAAATGGGACCTCATTAAACCAAAAAGCTTCTCTATAGAAAATGAAACAAGTTATGGAGCCAGGTGTGGTGGTACATGCCTTTAGTTCTAGCACTTGGGAGGCAGAGGCAACTGGATCTCTGTGAGTTTGAGGCCAGCCTGGTCTAGTAGTGAGTTCAGGACCAGCTGGAGCTACAGGGAGACCCTGTCTCACAAAACCAAAAAAAAAACCAGCAGTAACAGTAAGAATGTACGTGCAAGAAGAACACGTTGCTTCCTTAAAATGAGAGAGAAACAAAAACAAGCAGAGAAATCGAATTCCTCTGAATAAATCCAGTCATACTGTATACATATGTCAGTTTACCAGTAGACTCTCAATTTCCTTAAATGTTAAATATATTTCTAGGGAATACTCCTCCACTGCTGGTGGGGCTGCAAACTGGTTCAACACCTATGGAAAGCAGTGTAGAAAACTCTTAAAATTTAAAGCTACAAATGAACCTACCATTTGACCCAGTTATAGCACTCCTTGGCATATACCCAAAGAACTCATCCTATCGCAGAGAAACTAGTACATCCATATTTGTTGCTGCTCTTTTCACAATAGCTAAGAGATGGAAGCAACCTAAGTGTCCCTCAATTGACGAGTGGATAAAGAAAATGTGGTTCATGTATACAATGGAGTTTTACTCAGCAGTAGAGAAAGATGAAATCATGAAATTTGCAGGTAAATGGATGGAACTAGAAACTAAGTGAAATAACACAGAATCAGATAAATAAATACATATGTTCTCCCTCATCTGTAGATTCTAGCACCAAATCATTATATGTGAGTATACATCCTGATGTAACTGTAGGAACCAGGATAATGAAAAGGAAACAGGGAGGTAAAGGAAAAGAAAGAACCTGAAAGAGAGGAACAGTCGGAAACAGGCCATAATAAGGGAGATATGGATAAAAATTGGGTTAGTTTAAGGGAATGGGGATGGAAGGGTATACAAGGAACCTAGGGGATCAAGGGAAAGAAGGAGCTCAAGAGAGGTAGAACTGTAGGAGAAGGGTATTATTAAGGGAGAAAGGGGGGCAATGGGGGCACCTTAAGTGGGAAAACCATGATGGAGGGGTGAGACAATGCAAGAGATAAATAATGCCTAGTTAGTTTTGAAAACCATAAGGAACCATATTACTCCTACAACCTACCAACAAATTACACACAGCAGATCAAGAAATACCTAGAAATATATTTCTAGATAAGGTTTATCTGAGAACAACTGATCTTTGCCCGAGATTTATCTACATGAC